CAAATGTAGTTCACAGCATCCAACTCTTATCCCCAATTTACAGTGCTAAGCTAACGGCTAGTACTACAGAGTCTTACCTTTCTAATTTAAAGGGTATTGCTAAGGTGAGTGGGGTAGATTATGAGAAAATGCTACTTAGTGAACTTAACAAACTTCAGGCCTCTGCTGGGGAAAGGGAGGGTACAGCCCCCTCTAAGGTCATTTCAGTAGATGACCCAGTCCCTTTAATACCTGGTTCTGTTTTGAGACGACCAAGCAGTGAAACTATCCCACCCACTGTGACCACTGACACCATCAATCCTTCCCTTACTGACAGACCAGCTCCTATTTTGAACCCTGAACACTTGACCACACCTGAAGTCCAGAGGGTCATTGTGGAGCACATTGTCAAAAGTACTGACATGTCCCAATCCTATCCAAGCTCTGCGAAATTCAGGTCCTTTTCTGGAAAAACTCCATGCCCTAATACGGAGGTTGACTATGACACTTGGCGAAGTCATGTTGAGTTTTATCTTGCAGATTCTTCTGTTCCTGAAAGACAAGTAGTACGGAAGATCATTGACAGCCTCTTACCGCCAGCTGCAAACATTGTTAAACAATTGGGTCCCTTGTCCAGCCTCAAAGACTTTTTGAGCTTGCTTGATTCTGCATATGGAACTGTAGATGACATTGATGAGCTGTTCGCAAAATTCTTGAGTACAAACCAAAATGCTGGCGAAAAACCTTCAGCCTATGTGCACAGGCTGCAGACTACCCTTGACAAAGTTGTAAAAGGGGGAGGAGTCCCAGTTAGTGATTTTGATCAGCAGCTTTTGAAGCAGTTCTGTAGGGGATGCTGGGATGATAACCTAATCGCTAGCCTCCATCTAGAGCAAAAGAAATCCAGTCCACCCTCCTTTTCTGAGCTGCTTTTACTCTTGCGAACAGAGGAAGATAAGCAGGCAGCCAAGTCAACTCGCATGAAGCAGCACTTGGGAATTTCAAAAGTAAAGGTGCAGTCCAATCCTTTAAATGTTTACCCAACCACTGAGTTTCAAGCTGCTGCTGCTACTGGCAGCTCCGCTCAAGCATCTGCCAAGAAACTGCAAAAACAAATTGCTCAACTGCAAGAACAGTTAAGTTCCTTAAAAGCTTCAATGGAAACCATGGTTGCAAAGAAACCTCAGGCAAAGTTCCCAAAAGCTGTAAAGAAACAGCAGCTAAAGGAGGCACAAACACAGAACTCTCCGTTGAAAAATGAAGGCTTTGGCAAAAACAAAAAGCCTCGCCCATGGTTCTGCTTTAACTGTGGCGAGGATGGCCATATAGCTCCCTCTTGTGACAATGAGCCGAATCCCAGTACTGTTGAAGCCAAGCGGAAAGAGCTAAGGGTAAAACAAAAAGCTTGGGAAGACCAATGTGACTCTGATTTAAACTAGTTCCTGTTTCAGTTGAGGGACAAACTGGAACTAGAAGCGACAAAAGTCCCACTCAAAACCGCCCAACAAAAAAGTGTTGTGCACAAACAAGTATGCGTCATTCCAGCTTTCCAAAGGGCTTAATTGGCAAGAAGTGCACAGCTAATGTCAACATAGCTGGAGTGAGTTGCAATTCTTTGTTAGACTCTGGGTCGCAAGTAACGACTATTTCACACTCATTTTACCAGAGACATTTGTCTGATCTTCCCATCCAGCCAATCAGTGACTTAGATGTTGAGGGTGCAAATGGACAAGTTGTACCTTATCTAGGGTATGTAGAAGTTCCAATTGGCTTTCCAAAGGAGTTTGTTGAGTCTGAGCCCCAAATTTCTACATTAGCTCTCATTGTCCCTGATTTACGTTCCAGCACAGACTTACCAGTTTTAATTGGTACAAATGCCCTTGATGTTTTATATGAGGAACACTGTAGGGATACTCCCATTTCATCAGCTGTCTATGGCTATAGTCAGATTTTAAAAATCCTTGAACATAGACATGAAACAAAAAGCACAGGAAAGCTTGGACTAATGACACTGAAGGGCAACACACCTTACGTAATACCAGCTCATGAAAGGGTTTGCCTAGAGAGTTACGCCCACCTAAATTCACCAACCACTGACAGATGGGCAGTTGTAGAGCAGCCAACTTCCTCAGCCCTTCCGGGAGGAATCTTTGTCGATTGCTGCCTTATCACAGTGCCACGTCAAAGTCCTTACAAGCATCCTATTTGGATCAGAAACGAAACCGATCATGACATCATCCTTCCTGGCAACTGCGTTCTTGCTGAACTACACATTGCAGACCAAGTCCTTGAAACTCAAACCACGTCGAGTGCAAACTCTGCAGGCTGTTGCAGCCTGTCTGCAGACTCATGTTCATTACCCAGTGACCAGTTGACCTTTGATTTTGGCGATTCACCTCTGCCCAAGGAATGGGAAAGTCGGGTCACGCAGAGTCTTAGTGCCTACCGTGACGTTTTTGCATGCCACGACCTCGACTTTGGCCATGCCACTAAAGTTAAGCATAAGATCAAGCTTAAAGACGAAACGCCTATAAAACAGAGATCGCGGCCCATTCATCCAAATGACTACGAAGCAGTCAGGAAACACCTTAAAATGCTTCTCGATGCTGGGGTAATAAGACAGTCAGAATCTCCCTTCTCATTCCCCATCGTTGTAGTCAAGAAAAAGAATGGTGAGGTACGCCTCTGTGTGGATTACCGCAAGCTTAATGTGCAAACGGTAAAAGATGCTTACGCGTTGCCAAACCTCGAAGAGACCTTCTCCGCCCTATCTGGTTCAAACTGGTTTTCTGTCATGGACTTGAAGTCAGGCTATTACCAGATAGAGATGGAGGAGGAGGATAAAGCCAAAACAGCCTTCGTATGCCCACTGGGGTTTTATGAGTTCAATCGAATGCCCCAAGGCATCACAAATGCTCCCAGCACCTTTCAGAGGTTAATGGAGAGGTGTATGGAGACATTAATCTCAAGGAGGTACTCGTCTTCCTAGACGATTTGATTGTTTTCTCAGACTCCCTCGAACAACATGAACAGAGGCTAAAGCATGTTTTAGACCGTCTTCGTGAATATGGCTTAAAGTTGTCCCCGAAAAAATGTCGCTTTTTCCAGACATCAGTTAAATATTTGGGCCATATTGTCTCCAAAAATGGTGTGCAGACTGATCCTGAAAAGGTTGCTGCTATCAAGACCTGGCCAGTGCCACAAAACTTGAAACAGCTGAAGTCATTTTTAGGGTTCACAGGCTATTATCGTCGATTTGTTAAGGACTATTCAAAGATAGTCCGGCCCTTAAACGACCTCACATGTGGCTATCCACCTCTCAGAAAAGGCCAGAAACAAACAGGCACTTCTAAATATCTCAATCCTCGAGAACCCTTTGCAGACAGATGGACACCTGTTTGTCAGTCAGCCTTTGAATGCATTAAGGAGAAGTTAACATCATCCCCTGTATTGGGGTTTGCAGATCCAAAGCTCCAATATGCTCTGCACACTGACGCTAGTACCACGGGCCTGGGTGCCGCTCTTTATCAGGAGCAGGATGGTAAAATGCGCGTCATTGCCTATGCTAGTAGGGGATTGACACCAAGCGAGACCAGATATCCAGCTCATAAGCTAGAATTTCTAGCTCTGAAATGGTCCATTGTCGAAAAATTCCATGATTACCTTTACGGTAACGAGTTCATCGTTGTAACGGATAACAACCCGCTTACATATATTCTGACCACGGCAAAACTTGACGCAGCGAGTTATCGCTGGTTAGCAGCGTTGTCTACCTTCAACTTCCAAATCAAATACAGAGCTGGGAAGGCTAACCAGGATGCCGACGGCCTATCACGGAGGCCTCATCAAACTCTGGCTGCAGATAGTGTGACATTGGAAGAGGAAAACAGGATTCAACAACTCACCTCACGCCTTCTCGGATCCCTTCCAAGCTCTAACAGTGTATGCCCTGACACTGTAGCAGCTATATGTAATAAGCATCTTCTCAATGAGAACAGTGAGAACTCACCTTGTGTCATTCTGGTTGAGTCCTTGGCTATGAGTGCTGATGCCATTCCTGATGCATACAGTGATGCTGAAACATCTGGTCAAGTAGCTGCTCCCTTGTTTTCTGAGCATGAGCTTAAAGAACACCAAAGATCTGACCCAAGCATAAACCACGTCATTCAGTTACTAGAATCTGGTGCTGATGTTCCATGCGAAAACAGGTCTGAAACATTTGACATAAAACTGATGCTCAGAGAATGGAAACGTTTTGAAATGAGAAATGGCCTTCTGTATAGGAAACGACAGTGTGACTCAGTTACAACTTACCAGCTTGTACTCCCTGTCTCTCTTAGGTCTACTGTTCTCAAGCTGCTCCATGATGATATGGGTCATATGGGGTGGGAGAGGACTCATGATCTAGTGAGGGCAAGATTTTATTGGCCTAAGATGGGTGCTGATATTGAGACTAAAATAAAGAACTGTGGTCGTTGTGTTAGAAGGAAGTCCTTGCCTGAAAAAGCAGCACCACTGGTTAACATCAAAACCACACGCCCAATGGAATTGGTGTGTATGGACTTTCTTTCTATTGAACCCGACAGTAAGAGTACCAAAGACGTGTTGGTCATCACAGATCATTTCACGAAATATGCAGTGGCCTTGCCCACCCGAGACCAAAAGGCAACCACTGTGGCCAAAAACCTTTGGGAAAACTTTTTAGTTCACTATGGGTTCCCCGAACGCCTCCATAGTGACCAGGGGAGGGATTTTGAGTCACATGTGATTAGGGAATTGTGCTCAACCACAGGCATTAAAAAAGTAAGGACCAGTCCTTATCACCCAAGAGGTAACCCCGTTGAGCGATTCAATCGGACCCTGCTTGGTATGCTGGGCACCCTGAAGGATGAGCAAAAGATTCATTGGCGTGATTTTGTCAAGCCTCTTACCCACGCCTACAACTGTTCAAAGAGTGAGGTTACTGGTTTTAGCCCTTACGAGCTAATGTTTGGTCGAAAACCCAAGTTACCAGTCGACCTTGCCTTTGGGTTGCCAGTTACAGGGGACTCACCAACATCCCATTCCCAGTATGTGCGCAATCTGAAAGCTAGGCTTGAGGAAAGTTACCAGATTGCACTCGAAAACTCCAAGAGAGTTGCTGAGCGAAACAAGAACAGGTTTGATAAAAAAGTCAGAGAGTCCACACTTCAAGCTGGGGACAGAGTCTTAGTCAAGAACGTTCGTTTGCGCAGTAAACACAAACTTGGCAATAAATGGGAACACATGGTGTACCGTGTTGTTAAGAAACTGGAAAATGTTCCTGTGTATGTGGTCCAACCGGAGAAGGGTGGTGGTCCGAGCAGGACTCTTCATCGAGACCTTTTACTTGCATGTGGTGATCTCTCAGACATTGAGGATGAGGTTGAGACAAAGCCCAAACCTCCACGTCGACCTAAGACTCGGCAGAGCCCTTCTGAACCTAAAGATACAGAAATGTCAGAGTCTGAGGAGGAGTATGAATGCATTTCAGGTCATCCCTCAATCCAAACCGAGACGTTTATCAGGATTTGTGACCAAACTCAAAACCATTCCAATGTGCAAAATGAGACAACAAGCTCCGAAATTCAAAATGATCCATGTACGCTCGAAAGTGACAACTCTTTGCTTCAACCAATAGAGACAATCTCGGACAAGAATGACCATGGACAGGGAAATCAAACTGAACCTGAACTGCTGAATGAGGAATCTCACTCTAACATCATGGGAGAGAATCATAATGTCCAAGTTCCAGGAGAACCAGATGTTGAGATAGAAAACACAGAGCATAGTGAAAATATCACCGACCAACATGCTGAACAAACACCTGAAATAACTCCTGAAACACCTCAAGTGAGAAAATCTGAGAGATTAAAGCGACCCCCAGGACGGTTTCATTACCCCCAGTTGGGTCAACCCCTTATATCCTTTGCACAACGATTTCTGGATAACTTTAACCAAGCTCTTGAGTCGTTTAGTAGCTATGAAAACACTCAAATCTATGATGTTTAGATACATTTTAAGTACATGAAGGGACTCATGTTTATTCAAAGGGGGAGGGTGTAACCCCTATAGACATGGTTACTAGTATTTTCTTGTTTTTACCTGGTAATATTATTTCCGACACCCCTTGAACACACTTTGATTTTCCGTAGTTCAGTGAATGCAACAAAAGCACGTTGCTGCATTAAGCTAGGCAAAACGGAGCAAGACACCGAGAGCAAATAACAAGCTACACAGTGAGTCTTTTGGTATAAAATAAGTGTTATAAAGTATTTTCAACAGTCTCTAACTTAAAGTTATGTACTTTTCAGAGGCCTTTATGTGTTTTACTCTCGACCAAAACCAGGCAGAGCGTGTATTTGTTTCTTGGGAATTCCGGTGAGTTACTAGAGATGATAAGTTAGCAGGAAAACTTATGCTAATTTTACATGTGGTAAACACTGCAACAGTGCGAATTCCGTATTGTCTAAAAAAAAAGCTAAAACCAGTCGGAGTACTTGAATCGTGTGTGAAATGGAATGTCGTATTTTATTTTATTGTCTATTTGATTGGGCATCTTCACAAATGTGCAAAACTAATGCAGGATGCACTTCTCTTTTAGCCATAAATGTTGTCCAGTGCCTTTTCTGCACTTTGTCATTTCAGTTATAGGTTAATACATGTAAATAAGTTATTTAAAACTAGTTACGTTACAAACATTTCATGATGTGATTACATATGCCTTAAAAAGGGGTATATAAATACAATTGATTGTAATGCTGTAAAGCAATACAAATGGAATTCATAGAGACAGAACAATGTTAAAACAACAGTGTACTTGATTTTGAAAACTTTATGAGATCTCATTTTATTTAGAAAAACTGTTAAGAACTATTCTGTTTATTGCTCTGTACTGTATGTGCAGACTGGTTTTTTGTGATCCTGGATCTGAAGTGGTTCTGGATATGGATGGCGAGCCAGACCCTGTGAAAACTCTTGGCGAATCCAAAAGCAGTGTGGCCAGCTGTTCTGGATGCAGGAGTAGAGCTACAGTCTGAATTACTTCGAATCGCAGGATTTCAGATAAGCAAGAACAAAAACTGCTTACTTGATACGGATTGTTTCTCTGGGAAACTATTGAACTCCCAATATCCTGCTCATCAGGAGTCAGGTCTAAAGAGACTACTTATTTTATTTTATTTTGTTGTTATTTTCAAAAGAGCGCTCTTCTCTGTTGATCTTCTGTTAATTTTCTATGCTGTTTACATTGGATTATTGCACCACTGTAACATTGTAATAAATCTGCCGGCTGTTCAACACTCAATTCTCTCAAATTTATTTTACTCCTCTCGAATCTAGTCTATAAGTTTAACCCTACTATACTAAGCAGGTGTTACCATACCAAGCAGTGCTTTGCACAAACCTAAGGGAGAAAGATTCATTCAGTATTCAGGCTAAACTGGCTTGACTACCACCACAGAATGAAATGTTATGTATTTTATACATTCAGCTTTCCCACAACATGTGATTTCAGTACTCTTTTATTATAACAATAGCCCTAATTTCTTCAATATTTTAGTTGACGAACAACTAATTATAGGTAACATTATACTCAGTGGTTTATTTCTAATTTGCAATTATAGTACTGTGCAAAATTCTTGAGTCACTCCTCATTTCTTTGTTTGGTAGGAAAATTGAAATAGCTGCAGGATTTATTGGAAGATGCTTGTATTAAAATACAGTATATGAGGAAAAACATAATTTGCACAATTCTAATGAGACTGAAAGCCACCATTTAGTCTGACCACTTTTATTCTTCAACACAGACTTAACTCTCTTAAGCAATATTTCATGTATATCTGAGTAAATGTAAGTAGTCTTCAGCAATAGTTCTCCATGCTTCTTCAAAGAGATTCGTTGGATGGAATGCCGTAGTCGTACTCCTTCAGTAATTTTGAGATCCAAGGATAGTGTCCCATTGTGTTTTTCTATCTAAGTGTGCTTTTATTGGTTGGCATTGTGTTTGGGATCATTATCATGATGAAATGATCAATTTAACAAAAATAAACTACAAGAAACTCTGGATCTTTACAAGATAAATATAAATAAAGGTGGCATGGCTCTAGACGTTTGCATGGTATTGCATGCTAGCATGGAAGCTAACAATAGCTTTAAGCTAACTAGCTATTGAAAATTATGTATAAAATATATATTGTATATAAAAGATGGATATAGCTTCAGACTATACTACCGTGAAGTGCATTTCTGCAAGTACTTTAGCTTTACTGTATACTTCTAATATCTAGTAATCTTTTGAAAATGATTAAAAAAACAACAAGGGAGTGTGTCATGTTACCAATTAGCAGAATGCTAGCAATTTATAATGAAAAACTATTTTCCCTGTGAGAAAAACTAAAAGACATAAGTGTATTTCAGTTCTGGCATATTATTACTAGTGCATTTGTGAAAACTAAAAACTACAGGCCCTTTGGTCCAGAAGCAGGACTGAATAATTGTTTTAGGTGTTTAGCTTCATTTTCAGTTTGTGGTCATGATTGCTATTTTTAAGTCTGAATACAGTGATTTTGGTTTTATATATTATGGCCTCAATTAGAGTCAAATGGGAGACTAAAGCTGGGTTTCTGATGAACCTATACTAATTAAGCTAAACAGCAAGCCTCCGCTGGCACTAATAGATTGCTGGTTTATCAGTCAGATCACCCCCTTGCTCATTATGTCGCATTTCAAGACACTCCAAGATGACAAACACAGGATGCTGTAACAGTGGATTTGTTCATCTTTTTTATGCAGTCCGTTAAGGATAAGGATCAAAATATTATCATTGCTTCAACAACTGGGGCCTCATAGAGCCAATGCGTCACACGTTTGTAAATTTCAATCTAAAATACCATTAATTTAAAGACATTTACATCACATGTAGATGAATTTAATTTTCTTGGTGTCATTCCGTATGAGAGACAGCAAAATGAAGATGTGTGCATACCAATGTTACTGAGCCAGACAGCCTTGGTATAATTTCATTCTTGTTGTACACAGTCACTGACCTTGGCTGTCTGTGACTCGCCACATCTTTACCACTCTGCTTCATGTGCCCACTCCCTCTTTCAAATCTTGTCCCCTTCCAGTAATTGCATGTCAAATCAATGTTCCCCTGTGCAGCCAAGCACAAAAACTTTCTTGCCGCACTGGGCTCCTGTTCCCCACACTTTTTTTCTTCCCCACATTGGTTCTCCCACATACTCCTACAGCAACTGCATCTCCATCCCTTGGGGTCTACCTTTCGTGTTTTTCCATAGCATCAAATTCCTTTCTGTTCTCTGCATCTAAAGCCATGTCCTCTCCTGCTTCTTCTCTCTCCAGTTTTCTCCAGGCTCTGCATTTATTTTGCCATGCTGCCTCAGCAGTTCTGTCTTCTCTGTCCCTTCCCTCGAGATAGCAATTCGCACTCCTCTATTTCCATCTATTTCTGCTGGTACACCTTCCTCTCACTAATGTTCCTCCATAAATCTTGCTGCCTTTCTTAATGAGGCTCTTCACTACAAATAAGACACTTCCTCCCTGCATGACCGACTAGTGATGAAGGAATTAACAATCTACAATTTGTGTGTTTTGTATTATGTTTGTTGCAACACTCAACTCATTATCTATTTTTCACTGTAGGACATTTCTATTGTTCCTGTGCTGTATGCCCTTCACGATCAGAGAGAGGCTATTAGAAGTCAGCTCCATGGTCATGAGTGACAGGTATGAATACTGATAGAAGGGGTAAAAGGGGGCTTTCTCATTTATTATCAATGAGAGGTGCTGAGATTGCTTTTAAGATGACTTCATGCGGGGTAAACGTTGTTGTGTGTTAGGCAGCTTTTCAGATCCGACTTGATGGACAATCCATTACACTCTTTCCAAATGCTGTACTCTATTTTCTCTGGGTTACTGGGTCATTATGTACATTTGCGGTTTAGAAGCTAAACTATGCATTCACAAAAAAATAAAATGTAAAAAACAAAAGCTGCTGTTGCTCACCCATCCCCAGGCTCCTTGTGTAGTTTATTTACATTTAAAATTATATTAAAATTCAGAAAAAACAGTCTCCGAGATTCACAGCAGGGGGCTGGCGGTGGTGGTATCTACGGTGGCTGTGAAGTGGAGGGTGGGGATGTTGTGGATAGAGATGAAAGAGAGGCTGAGTTCAAAGTGTAGACGGAGAAAGCAAAGCATACGAGACATAAGGAGCGGAAAGGAGGTGAAGAGAGGTGTAATGATGATGGAGAGATGTAGAAAACAAGCTTTCAAGAATTGGCCGGGTAAATGTAAACAGAGAGAGAGCCTGACACTGCGATCGAGACTTGCATGTAAACACACACACACAATGGAGCTTACGGGGAATTACTAAGTGGTTGATGCATAATTAGTTTTTATCCGAGAGCCCTTTAAAGAGCAAATTAATCCCATGTGCGGTACAACAGGCTGAGATGAAAAAGAAGGGGCAAGGCAATGACTCACTACACAATAATGCACATTATCTCACACATAGTCTTCATTGTAGGTTAAAAAACCCCTACACAAATAAGATCAATCTTAATTTAAAGTGCAGCCTTTAAGCTTTTCTTCTCAGCATCAACAAATGTTTTTCCAAGCTTGTGTTCATTTGCATTTCCATAGTGTTTATGCAGGAGCATGCATGAACGATACCTGCACCAACCACCCCCGACTTATTGAATTCTGACTTGTTTGGTAATTGATTTTTCTCATCCTCCCATGCTTTGAAAGCTGCACCAGTCACCTCAGAAAATCAATTAATCTGGAGACAGAGCTGACCTACTCCAGATATAACCCCGATTGTTTGATATCACCGAGTTAATTTAAGTAGACAAGCCTGGAGTGGTTGTCTTATTATAAAGTGATAACACTGAGAAGATATCGATTTGACAAAGTATTCACACATTGATCATCGCAAGGATAAGCAGAAGAGAATGGATGGATTCACAAATTGCTTTAAATGCTTAGGTAGATACATAGATTGGGCATAGACAAACACACCTTTGGCATTACAGACAGCTGACACTTGAGAAGGTAACAAACAGTCTGTCAGGCAGTCTATTTAACTCCTTTAAATTACCTGTTTGTCTTTTCCTTTTTGATCCAGTTGATGCTTCAATTATTTCTAACACACTGTTAGGGTTACATAGAAACACAGTCATACTGATGCCAAGAAGGTTATGTGATCGTTCGGTTTATCTGTTAGTTTGCACAATTACTCATGAAAATCTTATCACAGCTGGGACCCAACTTAGAAGTGATTAACTTTTGGAAATGATCCATATCCGAATCTGGATCTGGATTGCCACTGTGAGATAGGCCAAATTGGACATTTTCCACACACCAGTTTCATGATTACTAATACAGAAAATGTGTAACTGTGATATTTAAAAGCTGAAATGCCATCTAATAAATAAATAACATGGAAATGATTCCAGTCATTCATCTATTATTCTGATATTATTCTAAATAACTGAGTGACTGTATGGGTATTGTTAAAGACTGTCTCCTGCAATTGTATTTTGTGTTTAATTGACCAGAAAACACCAGAATTTGACTGATATCATTATTTTCTTTTCTTTCGACATTGCAGTAACATCATTATCACGGTCACTGAACTGATACTGATATTGTCAATCATCGCAGTCCTCATTTCTGGTCATTTTTTCACAAATACATATCAAATTAAAATAAGAAAAATCGAGACACATCATTTTGATTATCTTAAGAAAAAATGACAGGCTTAGAGGGATCCAGTTATTCTTGTTGATCCAGGGACTAAACCCATTCGTGGGAAGGAGGGAACTGACAGTCTTGGCAGAAAAATGCACTCTCCATCTGCTCATTTTGATGTATTTGTCAATATCTTTAGCTCCTCCTGTGAACAGGATGTTGGTGTATAAACATATAACGAATGGCTATATGAGACAACTGAGTTTAAATTGTTTAGGTAGGATTTATAGAAGCAGCACTTCACCTTATATTTGACTACTTTATAATGTGCTGTAAACAATTTCTCGCCAGTTTTAAGATGTTAGATAGAATAAAATAGTATTTTAACCAATTCAATTAAAGTATTTATAGGAAAAGGTGTAAATAAAGAAAAATTATATAATCGGTGAATGATATCATAACTCCAATATGATAGCACTGCAGTACAGCATGCTGTTGAAATACTTCTGTAGTAAATCATGTTACAGTATACTGTCAGATGTGTCTTTATTCTGTCCACATGTGCCAGCATGCGGCTGCCTTTGTCATTCA